GTCCTGAGTTTAGAGTAAAAGAAAATCAATTTAAGCTAAAATTTTCTTCTAAGCATTATTTTTTCTGTATCATACAGACTTGGATATATTTTTTATTGATAATTCATTTTGAAGTTTTTCTTTTTTCTTCAATGATACCTATTTTAACCAACAGATGATTTAGAATTGTATGGATTAATTTCCAAATATTGATGTTTTCTTAAATATCTTATTGCTATTTACTCCGAATGTAATAACAGTATTATCTAAAAACATGCTTTGTGCAATTTTATTGATTTTCAATTATGTGAGACCATACAAAACATGGTCTATCTTGAACAGATATGTGCATTTGCAAAAGATATATATGGGATCTATAACTTTTATATATTTTATAAATATCAACTAGGTGAAATATTTATGAGTAGTGTTCAGGTGCTCTATATTTTTGGCTGATTTTAGATCAACTGCTTAGAGAGGGATATTAAATTTTCTATTAATTTATCCCTTTAGCTTTCTCATATTTGATTCATGTATTTAGGCTATATTATTAGATACATAAATATTTATAATTATGTATTCCTAATGAAATGCCCCTTTTGTGATTCTGAAATATCTTTTATCATGGTAGGACTTTTTATCTTGAAATCTACTTTATCTAAATATTAAAAGCTATTTCAGCCTTCTTATGCTTACTCCATATATATGTGTGTATCTATACAGTGTATCTGTGTATCAGATATACTGATATAGTGTATCTATATTTTAAGTTTGTTTTAATTCTGATAAGATATAACTTTTTTTAAAGATTTATTTATTCATGCATATAAGAACCAGGGTACAGGCCAGCTGTGCGGGAGGGTGAGAAGATTCACCAGAGACAGAGCAGGAAACAGAACAGGCAGACTAACTGAAATACACTGCTGAGGGGAGCAACAGGTGACAGGAGAGGTGTGCTGCACCATGTGGGTATCTCCCCAGCAGGCTGGAATCGAACCCGCACTGCAGAGGCTGTAGACAGTTTCACTGTGCTGCGCTCAACCTCCTGTGCCACCAGAGAAGCCCTAACTTTCTTTTTTTTAAGATTTATTTATGCATACAAGAACTGGGGTACAGGCCAGAGATGCAGGGGATGAGAGGATTCACCAGAAAGAGAGTGGGGTACAAAAAAGGTGGATCTACTCATATACACTGCCAAGGGAAGGAGCGGGCCAGACAGGAGAGGTCTGCTGAGCCATGTGGGTAGCTCCCTAGCCGGTCGGGAGATGGAGCTTGTGATGCAGTGGCTGTGGATAGCTTCACAGTGCTGTGCTTAACCCCCTGTGCCACACTGGGAGGCCCAGATCTAACTTTCAATTAGAGTACTTTTCCATTAACATTTTATATAATTATTGTTATGGTTCAATTTAAGCCTTAGAATGTATTATTATTTTGTTTATTGTTTAATCTCTGTGATTTTTCCTTCTTTCTGTTTTTTTTTCTTTTTTTTGGATTATTCCTTTTAAATCTATTTTAGAAACATTTTAGCTATTCTTCTGGCATTTTAAACTATTATAATGAGTAAAATATACATCTTTATTTTTTCACAGTCTTGTTATATTTAATAGTTTATCCCTTAAAGTTAGAATCTTTTCAATTTAGCCCTATTTGATTCTCCTGTTATTCTCTATCATTTCATATGAGTTGTGTCTCTATACTTTATCAGTTTCAAAGATAGTGATAATGTGATAATGTGAATTAAAAGAAAGAAGGAACCAAAATAGTGTTATTTGTTCACACATGTACTATTTTTAAGCTTTTCATACATTCTTGAATTACCAGTTATTTTTTGCTATATTTTTTCCCTCAATGCAGTCTATCTTTTAGCATTTATTCCTGTATAGAGTTTTCAGCATTTGACTTTTATATGCCTAAATGTTGATTATTTCAAAGTTATTCTCTTTGGATTTCATGTGCTTCTTAAATTTGGTTGTTTCATAATATGTTTAAAGTTTTCTGCCTGTGTGTCCTCAAAATATCTTGTCTTCCTAATTCTCCTCCTCTTGAGAGATCTTTTGATACTTACATACAGGCGCTTGAAACTTTGTGCATCTTTGATTCTTTTCTCTCTTCTTATAGGATGATTTCTGCATGTCTGCCTTCAATTTCATTTTTCTTCTAGTAAGTCTCCTCATTTATTAAGTACAACTAGTGAATTTCATTTATGTTGTGTTTTCCAGCTCCAAAATTTATTTAATTTACTTTTGGTGTTGCATTCAGTCTTTTTTTTTTTTTTTGGTGATATTTCCTAATATTCCCTACTTTTTTTTGTAATTATGAACCTATTTTACTTTCCTTGACCACTCATTATATCAGCTTCATTGGTAATTCTACACCTAGGTCATCACAATGTTTGCCTCTCTTTATTGTCTGTTCTTAAGACTGTATCACATGTTTCTGTTTCCGATAAGTCGAGGATCTCAATTTTACACCAATTATTTTCTACAGTATGTTTATAGGTTATGAGCCCCGATATTGCCCCCAAAAGTATAAATAGCTTTGATTTATTGAGCAGTTAACTTGCTTAGAGTCAAACTTTAAAATGTCACATAACGACCGATGGCAGGTCACATGTCAGTTCAGCGCTTTCATTTAGATGAAAGTTGCCTTTGCTTTCTCCCTGCAGGTTCAGGGATCAGTTATAAACTTGGGCTGAGTCTATATATTGATTTTTCTTTTCATTGGCTCTCTCTGTCTGAGGGTTTGCCTTTTGATCTCCAGAGGTTTTTACTGCCCTTGACTTACTTCCCTCCATATTTAGTCAAGATGCACAATATTCTCTTTTTTTCAGAGTTTATAGCTCCTATGTTGCAGTCACATTCATAAATGTGGACATCCTCAGGGAAACAAAAAAACTTGGGAGTTCTCTCCATGCTATTTTGCTTGTTCCACGTTTAACTTACTTTCTGCATTTGACTAACTTAATTCCCCACGCCCAGAGACCTTAGCTATTTTTTCGGGGGTAGAAGGGTGTGTTTTGCTCAGAGTTTAAAACTCTATTTGCATGAGATTTGGTCCAGTATGTATAGTTATTATTTGTAGGGAGATCTAGTATTTACCCTTCATATCACCAGCATATCATCAGTCTACCAAGGAAAGGATCAACTGAGTCACATGTTAAAGTATAATCTCATTGCTTACATTGTTTCTCAATTTTCATCATTGTTTTCCTAATCACTCCTCTCATCTATAAGAATATATTAACTAACTGAACCATTTAACTAGCTTACTTATTATTGATTTACTATGTTATTTTTAGCAGTTCCAGAATTGTATCACCATGTAAAAATAAGATTAGGATAATTTTATAACTTTATATGTATAAATTTATATTTATATATTATAATATATTATATTATATATATCCACTTTTTTGATTTTTAAACATGATAGCAGAACATTGCAATGTTGGAAATATATCTTTTGTTAACACAGTTTAGGGAAAAAATCCTTCTACTATATTTCAATGCATTTATATGCCATCAGTTGTGAGAAGGTGTGTAATACACATTGCTATTTTAAGTAACTCCAAGAAGGAAGAACTGTAGTTCATCCCCATTTAACACAATGCCTTTTAAACATCATTTGAAATTTATTTTGTACACCTCTTGCAAATGAACTTTACTTTCTTCTATGTTTTTTTCTTTCTTAATCATATATTAATCTGCAATGTTGCCATGTTTCTCAGGCTCATGAAGTTTTGTTTTGTTTTCTCCCATGCTGAATCATAGTATCATCTTCTTAAAGATACTTTAAGCAGCAATTAAACTTAACACATGGAGTACAAATAATGTACACAATTTGATGGATGTGAGGAAAGTGTGAACAACTATGATTAATTCCAGGCTTGTGGAGGCAATGAGAGCTACTTTGGGATTGTTGCCTGGTCAGTGATGCTCGATATAAGAATCCTTGTGAATTCAGAGATTTCAAAATGTGAAAATAACAGGTTTCATATTGCAAGTAAAATATTACTCAATGTTTTCTTTAGTTTTTCTCTCACAGGAAAGTAAGCATACCAGTTGCTTGAGAAAAAGAGAACTCTTCTAGATAATTATCTTTCTATGTGGCACTTTTGTATATTCACTGCTTAATGACCTATTTATATTCATGTGACAATAATTTAGTCATTGAAAATTATAGTTACAGATTATTTTTAAAAAGTAAAATTCAAGATCATGGTTTTGACAAACTTTCCAAATCAAAATTAAATTAATTTGAGCCTGTCTTATGCTGTGGTATATCTGTTCCCTATATTCCTATAGATCATTTTTTTATTCCATAGAAAGTTTTTGATGTCTGCTCAAGCTACTAGCTACATAGAAAAAACTATGAACCTTACATTCTTGTGTGCTTGTCTGTACCATACCATGGAGTGAAAAATTGGGACAAAGATCAACTTGAGGTATTCCTTTAATATTAGAAACAACATGATAATGTTTCCTAATGAGTCCTCTAGTACCAAATAAGCAATCCTGGGGATAGCACACATAGGGAGCAATACCCACATATCTAAATATTTCAAAGGAGGATTTTTATTAGACATGTATATTACAATTTTTCAAATAATTTTTAGGCATCTGAACTTGCCCCTAATGGCCTCATCTCTCATCCCTCTTTGTTTTAAAACTTTACCTTCAGCAACTCCTTGCATTTCTGTGCCATTATGCTGTTTTTCACTTTTGTGTCTTCTTTTTGTGACCCTGATTCATGGAATGACTTTCCTTTTCATCTTTGCTTAACTAAACTCTTTTTCATCCTCTGGAGCTCAGTTAGGGCATCACCTGCTCTAAGAAATTTCCCTCATCTAAGTGTGTTTGATTTTAGTCCAATTTCAAGTTAAGGGATTACATTTTATTCCCTTAACATTTCCATTTCACTTAGCAGTTAACAATATCAGACCATATAGTGATGGAGTTTTCTGATTCTATATTAGAATTCTCAGGTTGTCATAACAAAATACTGTCAACTGTGTGGTTTAAAATACAATAATTCATTTTCTCATAGCTTTGGAGAGTAGAAAATCCAAGATCAAGGTGCTGGTCAATTTGTTTCCTGGTGAGAGCTCTTCCTACCTTGCTGAGAGGGGAGAGGGATGGAGGAAAGGGGCAGGCCCTCTTTTGGAGTCTCTTCATAAAAGCACACTAATGTTATTAAATGAGAATTGAGGGCTTGGTCCTTATGACCTCATTTAACCTTCATTACTTCTGTAAAGACTTTATCTCTAGTCACATTAGAGTTTTCAGTAAGAATTTGCTGGGGAAGGAGTGTTGGAAACAGGAATATTCAGTTGATCATAGGTTATTCAAGTAATCCCTTTAGAATCAGAGAACCAATGAGGTAAACTACTAATAATTTAACTAAAATCACTCTCCTTGCTCTCACTTAACATTGTCCAAAGAATATTTCCCTATGGGTGGCAAACACAGAGTTTGCACAGAGAAGTGACCAAAAGTGCCTCTAGACAATGGAAGCTATTTGAGAAGTTGTTGCAGCACTCTTTTAGAAATGATTATTACCAAGGAAAAAGGAGAGAAAAATCCTATATATTCTAAAAAAAAAATACAAATGACTTACTATTCTCTCCCCTGGTCATTCTTTTTTTTATTTTTAAGGGTCAACTTGTTTTCTTTTTGAATATAGAATATATAGGAACTTATAGTCTAAAGTACTCATAGCAGAAGGGACTATCACAGGAGGGCTCAATGAGATTATTCATATACCCCCAGTTTCTACCCATCCATAATCTGTGATTCCAAAATTTCCTGATCATTCTCTTATTGTACTTACTAGACAGTTCTCTAGTTTTCTGGGTCTTTTCCCTTGTCCCCACCAAATCCACTCTCCACTCTGCTTATCCATGTATATGGTGTTAGTTGTTTCCTAGTGTTTATAGCACTTACCTGTTCTCCCTCCTGGTCATTTTTTTTTTAAGGGCCAACTTGTTATACTTTTGTATAATAATTGTACTATAATTATATTTCGATATACTGTTTATTTTTATTGTTTATGCTCATTATTTTTAAAAGTCCCTTCACTCAATTCATCATTTACCCTTTCGATAATGGATAATGACATTTATTTCCATTTAAACCCTAACCAACACAACTGCGTGTCTTTCACTGAAAAAAAAAAATGAGTTGTTGGAGGGTGACCTAATTAAATTTACATTTCATAACCTAGTGCATTGCCTGACATAGTAAAATGCTGCATCAATACTTACACTTCCTCATACATAAGTTTTCAGTCCTCATTTTTTTTATAATTATACATTTGTCCCAAAATAAATAGAAACATGACAATGTCTCTCATTTAGAGTGCTATGAAGTTTCTTTTGAATTGTAAATGAATGGAGAACAGACTTTTCCTTTGTACAGCAGTGGATATCATATATCGTGAAAATAATAATTCACACCTCTAGAAAATCACAAGGTTCTTTGTGGTAGATATCTCACATAAAGTTTTCTGAAGACCACTTGGGGTTAAATTAAAAGTTGATTGACTTTGTAGAGGAAAGAGGTATTATGTTTTATCTCATACAACTACTAAATTTGCCATCATATTAAGGGATAATAGAATAAACCAAGAGGGAGTAAGAGGATGTTACAGAGAAAAGGAGAAACCAAATAACCACAGCATGAACAAACAGTAATGAGAGGGAAAAATTCTGATATGGGACATATCATCCCATGGATCTTTTAAATTTGAAACATTATTTTGTTCATTCATCATTTCACATTCACATGTAGCCTGGATTACAGAATACAGATCATGTAATTTGCTCATATAAATGCTTTAGCTTGATTACTATCACTGAATATGCCTTCTTTCAGAGAGGCACCCAATGGAGATGAAATATATACAACAAAGACTAGTTCTCTAAAGGATTACAGTGGCCTTTTGAAATGAGACAAAGATGGGAAAACACTACTTGGTATTTGTACCAAGACTTCTTTTTTATGTTGTTGTCAGTGATAACAACAGGTAACTTATTAGATGGGTAACGCAACACCTTCAGATTTAAGAGGTATATCCAACTACAATTCACCTAGAAATATTCTCTAGAAAATGATTATGATTGGTATAATGGAGCTAGGTTTAAAGTTAGGGAAAGATTTAGCATTATAGAAAAATCATTCTTTGTGTTTGGTCACAGAACATACAAACAAAACTACGGAATAAAGCGATAATGAAATTATGTTTTGCTTTTTTTTTTTTTTAACTCATCCTAATATAGAGAGGAGGGTGGGAAAAATGGGAGAATGAGAGGTAAATCAGAGCTCAGGCCCTCAAGAACCACTACCTTCAAAATAGCCAGTAGCAAAGGGAGTCCTTCTCTGAGTGGCAATCTAGATAATGAATAACAGAATAACAGACTGTGGAAATTTTTGCATAGAAATTGAAAAGAGAATTTGTTAACTGATAGTGTCAGAGATTTGCTCCTATGTATAGGGGAACTATTAAATGTAATGATTATAAAATTTCTCGGATGTAAAATACAATCTTCTCCCCTCCCCCCAATCCTCCTTCCAGCTTTTACTATTAAGACATATTATATTATTTTATTTGTTCCTCAGCTTCCAGAAACTGGAGAACATTTCCTCTAGTTAATATAATACCTATACATTTTTTTAGACTATAACCCAGTCGGTCTGGTGTGTCACATGGGTTGTGTTTCCCTTTGCTGGAAGAGGCAGAACAAGCACTTCTTCATGGGGAATTCCCTCATCTAAATATCTCAGAGTACTTTGTTTCTAAATAGCAATTTTGTTTATCTCAAATATTCAGCATTCCTTTTATTCTCTATGAAATAAAAGAATTTCTGACTCCAATAATCTGAAAAGCTAAATTAGCAATATAACAGCTCAGCTACATAAAATGTAATATGTTGTAAAATTGCTGTTAAAATAGAGATCTAATGATACCTTCATTAACTTGATCACTGAAATGGCAAACCCTTTCCAACACAACAGTTTCTATAGATACCACATGCTTATGATCAAAATTGCTTTTCTGAACGTGTTTTCCCTCCCTTACTTGATTGTATTTTACATCTTCTTTCTGGCTGTAAGTTACAATTAAACATTAAAAAAATAGTGCAAGACAAAATATATTCTACATCTGTTATACTGCTCAATAAATACACAATCTGTCCAGAAAGGATTTTCCTAGTGGGCAAATTAAAAATTGATTGCTGGAAGAATTTTTCACTTACCGTAGCTACCTACTAAACAATGCAAATGTTCTGTAAAGGAAATGTTTACTAATATTTAATTGTTACTACAAAAGATTGATCTTGGCTAACAAGTAGAATTCCATTTACAAACCATAAACATATTCCCATGTTCCATATATGAAGGCATGCAAATAGTTTTGGAGTCTTTGTAACAAAAGGAACCTTATTTTAAATCAGTGAAAATAGTTGAGTTGGCATTATTTCTCCACAATTTTAGAGTTTTATCATCACTTTATATTTTCCAATGTAGTAGGATAAGAAACAGCACTAGTGAAGAATCTAACAAAATTTTATATTTAAATATTTTCCATGAGACCCATTTTATGATATATTTTTAAAATATTTTATTTTATTTTAGGTAATTTCTAATAAACAGTGAGGGTATAACTAGCAGCATGATAAACCATATTGTACTTAATACAAAAGGAAAATTCAATAAAATTGATTCTCCATTTAAAACTTGATTATTTTGTTCATCACTGATTTTGAATAACTTCTTTTAAATATTGCATTTATATTGACTTAAAAATATGATTTATCTGGATTACTTACTTTTTGACATCCAGTTAATTCTTGCACCTGAAGCAAATGCCTCAAGCTCAATGTAGTCACAACCTACAATGAATGTTGTAGTAATTGTTAGGTTTTATACTTGTTAAGGTTGTATAATTGTTAGGTTGTAATTGTTAAGGTTGTATAATTATATTCTATCCATTATGTTGAATTTGATTCTAGTTATCAACAATTGTAACAAGTGTTACGGAATTTCAAACTATTATTCAGATTTTCTGAGGCATCATGTTAAAGTTAACCATCTTTGCCCAAAGATCTCCAAATAATTACACCTGTGCTCTCATCAGAAGTTATGTCATGATAGTGACATTTTATGTGATTTAATAAACTACTGTACAAATTATATGAAATGCAACACTACCACTTTAATTAATATACTTAACTTCAGAATAATGACCTATATTTCAATGAAAATTTTTTTCAACATGTAACTAAAGTACATTTAAATCTCTTCTGATATCAAAATTTCTTACAAAATAATTTCCCATACTCAAATGATATTTTATAAAGCTGCACAGAGCATATTCCCATGGAAGTCTACAATCCAAATTAGTATGTTAAATACTTTAAAACTACATCTGTTATAAATACATGTTAACTTTGCTTAATTTGTTTTTCATAAGTTGTTGACTCTGAAAACTTTTAGTGCATTTTGGTACATAAAACTTGTTAGCTTTTATCATCATGTATACTGCTTTTTCAGAATACAATTAAGGAAATACAGTTATGAAGGAAGTAAATACACATTTGTTATATCGCCGTATAATAGCATAGAAGCTAGGCTTTCTCAGTCTGGATATTATTAGAATGCAAATGTGACTATATCTGACATGCACATGACCTTACTTTACATCTTTAAAAACTAAAGAACATAAGGCAAAAGGAGATCAAAGGTAAAATTAAATGCATTTGTAGCCCTCAATTTTATGTAAGTTCAATAGAAAATGATCTTTGTAAAACACAAGACCTATTTCTACTTTCAAATATGAATGTTTAAGATACTTATTATGGCCAATAATATAATTATCCATTCTTCATACATTTTCAAGCAGTTCCAAATATTTACACTTCCCAATATCTATCCTATGTTTTATCAAGTGTCCCGACAAAATTTCCATGCTTTCCAACATTTCAAACTTTTCTTGCCTTAGGTCACGTGACTATTCCACAAAGAAATGTTTTAGTGATTTTCTAAGCTGATCTTTGATAATTCACATAATAAAATTTTGTTGTTAGAATTCTGAGTCTTTGATGATAATGATTATATTTTTTTATTTAAATAAATTACAGCTGTGACACATTATTCAGAAACAGTGTGTGCATTATAAATATTTCTGAATGAGTTAAATGTCAAAATATTAAATAAGTATTTTTTTAATGAATATACTAAATTAAGAAGAAAATTTATATCACTTTGCTTGTAAAATGGCTTCCTGAGAAATTACAAAGTGGTATAGGGGACTAAAATAAGGAATTTTTGAAAGTATCTGGGCTTTAATAGCAGACATACAAGGGTTCAAATTCCAACCTCCTTTGTATACAATTTGTTCTGAGATTTTTCAAAGACTCAGTTACACTGAGGGGAAAGAAAAGGCAGGCTTTAGTAAATAAATTTTCTCATGTTTTGGATATTTGAGAAATACCTTATAAACTTTCCAAATCTTTCTGTTTCTCTAAATGATTTAAACAGAAAGAGCAATAGCGGGATTGACAATGTGTTTACAGAGGCTTTTGAGTTTTATCAGTTCCTAACAGCCTCATGGTCTCAAAATTTATTACAATTTCAGAAATTTCTTTATTTCTTTTTGTAAATATTACAGATGATGTAAAAATCAGTAACTTAGGATGATTTTCTACTGCTGCTATATACCTTCTGCATGAGCTAGAATACAGCAGACTTGAATGAGAGAAAAACCTAACACACATACGTACCCCAAACCCCCAAATTTTAACAGTGTGCACATGATGCTTAATATTTTTTGGACACATAAACTAAAAACCAAGTCAATAGACAAAACATGATGAGTAATATTTTGACAACATCTGTACATATACTGTGTATGAAAAGTGCCTCAAATATAAGATTATTTGATTGTGGACATATGTGAGGACACTAGAGGATCCATATATAGTAAAATATTTTTTAAACGCAGACATTTTTGGAGTACTTTCCATTATCATAAATATTAACTTGTTATTTTAGTATCATATAAATGAATTTGTTTTGTGTTACAGATTCTTTAAATCTAGGGAACTAATATTTTCTAGCTCTCAAACATGAAAAACAAGACACCCCCAAGAAGTGATAAATAAATTATTCTCACAAACATGCTCCAATGCAAACAACTCTGATATTGTGACCAGATTCCATTTCCCTACCAAAGGTTTATATATCTTATCTACTTTCAGATAAAAAATATAATGATTGGTTATTAGTGTATATTTGACACATGAAATTTGAACTTTTTGTAGCTTGATATCCATGTTCATTAATCAATACACTTTTTTAAAAAGTAACATTATCTTTGTTGTTACTCCATTCATGTACTTTTAAAATTACTTTGGAAAATTACTAATATTTACAAACAAACCATTATGTATTAAAGTTATAAAACATTTAAAATAAATCACCTATTCAAGTCACAAATTATTGGCACAAAGGCCAGTTGAGTCACTTTTATTTCTGTTTTTTCCCTTTTTTTACCGAAAGGGCACACAGGCAGTCCCTCACTACCACAAATTATACATTCTTTTTTCTCACTTTTGGGGAAATTGCATGGGTCAGCACACCCAGAGTGCAATGGGCAAGGCATGCCCTGGGAAAACTACCTTCATAATCATGGTATCTTGTCTGCCAGGAAAGTATGAATACTACTGTTATTCTGTTATAGTAAACTTAAGATAAAGCAGTAGTTTTACAATATGTATTGTGTTAGAATAAACTCAAGAATATCATGAACTCAGTTGAACATATAGAGAAGGAGTAAATCATTTTACTATGGAAAGGATATAGGAATTAATATCTCTACCTCAAAATTAGAGCAACCACATGATACTATCAAATCATGTGGTTCCTTTCCAAAAACAGGGATCCAGATACATCAGGGATCCTGATGAAATTACACTGCACTAATGTTGAAAATGCTCTATTATTACACTGCAGAAAAGTATTACCCAGCATCTGACTTTTCAGTGAATAATTCTTAGCAATGTGCTGAATATAGCTACTTTCTACATTTCAAATGTCCAAATATTAAATCCTGATACATATATACACCGATAAATAGAGTGAATTTCAGAAAGTTGCCAATCTTTTTGCTTATTTTTTCATTTTGCCTTTTCTTCCCTGTTTTCTAAACACAATGAGAAGCATGGCCAGAAAGTCTTAAGTATGACTAACCATCAAAGATATGATAAACAGGGCCTCCCTGGTGGCGCAGCGGGTTGAGCACAGCGCTGTGAAGCTGTCCGCAGCTTCTGAGTGCCCATTTGATTCCCAGCCAGCCAGGAGATTCCCACATGGTGTGGCAGACCTCCCCTACCTTGTCCTCTGCTCCACTCAGCAGTATGCATTGGTCCTTCTGCCTGTTCTGCTCCCTGCTCTGTCTCTGGTGAATTCTTTTACCCTCCCGCACCTCTGGCCTGTATCCCAGTGCTTGTATAAATAAATAAAATCTTTTAAAAAAAGATATGATAAACTAAAAATAGTTGATTTGTTTTCAAGTGGTGGCACCCTGTCATTTATTTTATCACTTTCCCCTGTATTGCATAGTAAAATGTAAAAATATAGAGTCCTCAACTTTCTCCCCACCCCACCCTCGGAAATATTAAGTATAATAGTTTGTATTGTGAATAACCACATCCAAAATAAGGTAATGACACATTAATTTCAAAAACTTATTTATAGAAATTGGCATTTTGGGGTAACTTTCACACTTTCATATTATCCAATTTTAAACTTTAGGATGAATTATAACAAAAATATAATCCATATGTCTCAAGACTCACCATTTTTTTTTATTTCATTGAGGAATAATCAACTACAATGGTATATATTTAAAGTAAACAAGTGGTAATTTCACACACACACATGGTTACCAAGATTAAGATAATTAATATACCCATTCCCGCACATAGTTAATGCAGGTAATATATTTTTGTGTGAATTTTGTGAAAATGTTTATGATGCACTCTTAACAACTTTTAAGAGAGTGATATATATTTAACCATATTCACCATATAACCATTTTATACCCTTAACATTATTTCTTATTCATTCCATGCACTAACTTTCCTTTATCTAAGTGTTTGGTGAAGTCTTACTACTGAGGATTAATAAAAGGAAAAGACATTAAAAATATGTTATACTGAATAATTTCCATGTCTCATGATCTACTCTCCACCCCTTGTCTATTTTGTTTTGTACCATTAATACTAAACTTATGGTCTGTTTCAACAGATTCTCTTTCTTTTGGAATTGGATTTGCTAATAAAAGGCAGGGTGGAAAGTGAGGCCAGATTATCCATCCTGCTTAGTATTTCCTGGACAGACTGAGGAAGTTGGCAGCATCCCTCCACTAAAGATTAGAACTTCTCTCTCCTGTCAGTTGACCTCTCCTATAGTTGTTTTCTCTGAGCTCCAAACAATTATGCCTTCTTGGCTTCAAATTTATAGGTTGTAATGGGTCCCTACTGCTATTAACCTTCCAGTTGTCTACCAACTATTCTACATTTTCTTTGCAAACTGTCCTCAATTTCCCTGTTTGGACGAAGAATTTTCTAACAAGAGTGCTGATCCAATTCACCATCATGGTGAGTCCAATGGGGCTGTGAGAGCAATTTACAGAGAAAAATAAAAGACAATCTAGATCAACATATTTTGGTGTCCCTCTACCATCACTGCAAAGGGGTTCATTGTGGATCCTCTGGAAATGTTGGTGTCTCACTTTCTTCTATTCTCTTCCCAACCTGAAACTTTTTAATTTATCTGGTAAGTGAAATACTAGAAAGCTTAAGTTAGTTAATCTTTTGTTTATCTGTGA